CTTGTTTGTGTAGCGGGTGAGTGCGCCCATAACCCCCCAGGCCGCCGTGCCTGTAACCCTTCCCTAGGATCATCGGGGATCCCCAGTGGACCTCTGACAGGGAAATGTAGTGATGGGGAAGGGAGTGAGGGGAAACAAAGTGAGGGGGACAGGGATGAGGAGGGATGGAAGTGAGGGGAAATTGAGTGAGGGGGAATACAAGTGAGGGGGGATGGAAGTGAGGGGAAGTTGAGTGAGGGGAGTGAGGGGAAATAAAGTGAGGGGGAAGAGAGTGAGGGGGGATGGAAGTGAGGGGAAATGAAGTGAGGGGGGATTTCCTCTCACTCCATTCCCCCTCACTCACAGAAGTGGGGGGAAAACGAGTGAGGGGAAATATAAGTGAGGGGAAATGTAGTGAGGGGGAAGGGAGTGAGGGGGAATGGAAGTGAGGGGAAACAAAGTGAGTGGGACAGGCATGAGGAGGGATAAAAGTGAGGGGAAATTTAGTGAGGGGGAATACAAGTGAGGGGGGATGGAAGTGAGGGGAAATTGAGTGAGGGGAAATACAAGTGAGGGGAAATGAAGTGAGGGGGAAGAGAGTGAGGGGGGATGGAAGTGAGGAGAAACGAAGTGAGGGGGGATTTCCTCTCACTCCATTCCCCCTCACTCACAGAAGTGGGGGGAAAACGAGTGAGGGGAAATGTAGTGAGGGGGAAGGGAGTGAGGGGGAATGGAAGTGAGGGGAAACAAAGTGAGGGGGACAGGGATGAGGAGGGATGGAAGTGAGGAGAAATTGAGTGAGGGGGAATACAAGTGAGGGGGGATGGAAGTGAGGGGAAATTGAGTGAGGGGAAATACAAGTGAGGGGAAATGAAGTGAGGGGGAAGAGAGTGAGGGGGGATGGAAGTGAGGGGAAATGAAGTGAGGGGGGATTTCCTCTCACTCCATTCCCCCTCACTCACAGAAATGGGGGGAAAACGAGTGAGGGGAGATATAGGTGAGGGGAAATGTAGTGAGGGGGAAGGGAGTCAAGGGGAATGGAAGTGAGGGGAAACAAAGTGAGGGGGACAGGGATGAGGAGGGACGGAAGTAAGGGGAAATTGAGTGAGGGGAGATACAAGTGAGGGGGGATGGAAGTGAGGGGAAATTGAGTGAGGGGAAATACAAGTGAGGGGAAATGAAGTGAAGGGGAAGAGAGTGAGGGGGGATGGAAGTGAGGGGAAATGAAGTGAGGGGGGATTTCCTCTCACTCCATTCCCCCTCACTCACAGAAGTTGTCAGAAATAACGGTAGAGCCCAAATATCAACACCCCTCTTTTCCAGATCAGCCCAGCGCGGCAGCTCAGTGGCAGCAGGAAACTGAGTGCGCCACGCGTCGTTAAGGCGCGCGAAGCAGCGCTGCGTGGGGTGCGGCCTCCCACACTGCTGGCCGCTGCGGTCACCTGTGCGAATGACGTACGTGCAGGTAACGCTACGCTGCGCATACCACTCACGGGCGGCCTGAAGCGTCGGGGTGGGCTGCTGACTCTGCCCTCCGCCAGTGCCTCCACGACCACCACCCCCACCGCCGCCGCCCCGGCCACCTCCACCCCTGCCGCCGCCACGACCACCTCCGCCTCCGCTGCCGCCTCCACCACCACTCCCACCGCTGCTGTCTCCTCCCCCACTGCCGCCACTAGTCTCCCCAGCCGCGCCTCCACTCCCACCGCCTCCACCCCCACCTCCTCCGCCGCCACCCCCACCCCTGCCCCCCTTGTTCCTGCGGCGCCCGCTCGAAGCAGACGCGGTCCCGACCTTCTCAGCACCAAGAAGGTCGACAGCAGCAGCAGAGGCGACAGAGGGGAGGAGGGGGGAAGGGGAACACCCCTCAAAGAACGGGGTGCGGGGGTCGCCACGAGAGGTGCCTACAGCGACGATGCTCGCCTCAGCTGCAAGCAGTTCCTTCTCGAGGAGGGCAACAGTGAGCTCAGTGGGGGAGCGAGAGAGGAAGTGATCCCTGACTGCGCGCAGAGAGTCAGGGAGGCGGGTGACGATGTGGTAGAGAGTGATCCAGAGCGGGGGGGGGTTGCTAGTGAGAAACTCGGCAGGCATAGCAGCACGAAAGCGGGCCTCACTAGTCTTAAGGTGGGTGATGAGGTCTGCAACAGTGTGAAAGGAGGCTAGGTCGGGGAACAGGTAGGGGAGAGTGAGGCGGCCTAGCGTGGCAGAAGCGGGTGAGGAGTAGCGGGCAACTACAGCGGTGTAGAGGTCCTTAGCAGTCTTGCACTGGCCGAAGTGCTCGCGCTCGTCTAGCGGCAGGGAGTTGCGAATAGCAAAGCGAGCGTGCGCATCACGGGTCTGCCACTGGGAACGCAGAGTGCTGTCAGCAGACGAGTCAGGGGCAGTGGCATGGCCTAGGGCATGGTCGTACAGTGAGATATCTTCCTTGGCAGTGAGCTGTAGGAACAGGTGCAGGTCATCTAGCCAGGTTTCGAACTTCACTGGGCGGCCCTCGGCATCGAAAGCTAGAACGGGAGGACTAGCCATAGTGACAGTAGCAGTAGGAACAAGGCCGCTGGAAAGGTGTGCGCAGGGTCAACGGGGCCGGCGTGGTGCACGAGCGGCAGTAGTAGGGAGCGCGACAGCAGGAGCTGCAGCGGTGCGCGACCGAAGGGCAGGAGCTGCGGCGCACTAGCGGTAGCGGGCGACTCGCGGGCGGCGGCTGCAGAGGCGCACGGGCGGCAGCGGCTGATACGCACGGGCAGCAGCGCCGACAGCGCACGGGCGGCTGCAGCAGCGAGCGGTGCGCAAGCAGCAGCGGCAGCAGCGCACGGGTGGCAGCGGCGTCGGTGCACGGGCGGCAGCGGCGTCGGCGGACGGGCGGATGCGGGCAACGGGCGTGCGGCAGCTGCGGCGGCGAGCTGCGGGCCTGCGGGGCCACGGCGGGGTGTGCGCGAGCGGGCGACGGGCGGCTGCAGCAGCGGGCGCGTCAGCGAGGCGCACAGGCAGCGCGCGGGCAGCGTGCGGGGCCGCGCGTAAAGAAAACAGCCGCGCGCGTGCGGCTAGCGGGGCGCGCGCAGCGAAATCGACCGCGCGCGGGCGGCTAGCGGGATACGCGCGCTAAAAAAAAAAAAAAAAGTCGAGTCGCGCGCGGGCGGCTGGCGGGCTGCGCGCGCGCGGTAGGTAGGAGGCGCACGAGGGCGCGTAGGCGCACGAGGCGCACGGTAGGTAGGTAGGTATGTAGGTAACGGTGGGCCCTAAGAACGGTCCTAGCGAAGGACCTGCTCTGATACCATGTCAGAAATAACGGACTGGAATGATGGACAAGTGGCTCAATTTCGTTCCGTGTCGTTTACAAGATTTAAGCGCCCAAAATCTGCCTGGTACGCCCATTATAGGTGCGCATACTGCCCCGACTGCCCAACGCATCACTTTGATTGGTCCACTGAATTGGATGTCACAATGAACAGGCAGTGATGACTGTACTAACAGAAGGATGGATACAAATAGGAAACCCTAATCCAGTGTACCCCCTAAGGTGTCACCCACTACAGCCTACAATCATATAAACATATAATGTTTGACACACCCCCATAGGCAAAGTGGGGGAGACCTAGGGGTCACAAGACCAGTCAAGGCAAAGCAAGGCAACAACAAGCTCAGGGTGGATCTCAAGGATTCCACACAAATTCCGAGCACAAGCTAGCGGTCACAAGACCAGTTCACATGCAGGTTTATAACAGAGCAAGAGATACAGTGATCACAACCTAGCAAGAGTAAACATGCAGGTATAGATATATATAGTGATCACAGTACAAGCAAGGTCAAGAGGTAAGCAAGTGAGGTCCAGTAGGCACAAGGCCTAGTAGAGTGCAGAAGCGCTGATGGTCACGAGGCTGAAGCGCCTTGGTGAACACATCAGCAGTGTTGGCCTCAGTGGCCACGTAGCGAATACAAAGCTGACCGCGCTGCTGCAGCTCACGAGCAAGGAAGTACCTCAGGGCGATGTGCTTCGTTCTGTGCTCCAGTCTGTGCTCCTCACACAAGGCAATGGCAGCCTTGTTGTCGACGTACAGTACTGGAGGAGAACGAGGCCGCTCTCCGAGGTCGGTCAGCAGGTAGGTCAGCCAGCGTAGCTCCTGGGCAGCCATGGCTGTAGCGTAGATCTCAGCCTCGCAACTGGAGCCGAGAACAGAAGAAGAACGTGTAGAGCGCCAAGAAACTGAGCCAGAGCCAAGGCTGAAGGTGTAACACTGAGACGACCGCTGAGTGGCCTGGTCGTCTGCCCAAGAAGCGTCTGAGTGCCCTGTGAGAACAACTCGGTCTCGCCCTCCAAGCACAAGCCCCATGCCCGACGTACTGCACAAGTAGCGCAACACCCTCTTAGCGGCATCCATGTGCTCCTTCCTGTGACGGCCAGGAGCGACATAGCGTGCAAGGATGCTAAGAGGGTATGCAAGGTCAGGTCGAGTGCAGGTCATCAGGTACATGAGGCAGCCCACAAGCTCTGGATACGGGCCACTCGGCTCTACGGACTCATCCGAAGGCAGAGCTGAGAGCGAGTGACCGGTAGGCAGAGGAGTGGACTGAGGCGAGGAGTACGTGAAGCGGAAGCGCTGGAGAACCTGCTGCACCATGTGTGACTGAGTCAGGGTGATGGTGCGCCGTGCTCTGTCCCGGGTGATCCGCAAGCCAAGATAGCTTGTCAGCTCACCCAGGTCTGTGCACGTGTGTCTCCTCTGCAGCTCCGACTTCACGTAGGTGAGTCCTGCAGTGTCAGCAGTGGCAAAGACCAAGTCGTCGACGTACACGAGGATGTAGAACGGCGGCAGCGAAGTGTCGGTGCGCAGGAACAGCGACGGGTCAGCTGTAGAAGGCGCGAACCCAAGGGCCGCAAGTGTAGTCCTCAGTGTGTCGTGCCACTCACGCGGAGCCTGGCGGAGACCGTAGACCGGCCGCTGAAGCCTCCACTGGGTACCAGGAGGAAACGACCCAGTGAAGCCAGGTGGACGGCGCAGCCAGATCTCCTCGTGCAGGCTGCCCTACAAGAAAGCAGTGCTGAAGTCAAGTGAGTGAAGCTCGTAGTCGCGGTGAGCGGCTATGTGCAGCAGCACCCAAAGAGTAGTCATCTTCGGGGTGGGGGAGAAGGTCTGGAAGAAGTCAACTCCCTCTCGCTGACTGAAGCCTCGAGCCACGTAACGCGCCTTGAAGATAGGCGGAGAACCCGGCGGCCGCTTCACCCTGAAAATCCACATGCCATTGACGATGTTCGCCCCAGGAGGGGGAACCTCGTCGACGTAGGTGCCTGTGGACTTCCAGGAAGCCATCTCGGCGTCCATGGCTGTCTGCCACTGAGAGGAGTAGGGACCCGCCATCGCCTCAGCGTAAGTGCGCGGGGTCGGGATGTCTGGTGCATCCGGGTCTCCCTCAGGGGCAACTAGCAAGGACACGAGACGGGGCAAAGCAGCAGCAAGACACTGGAACTCCTCCTGTCTGTCCTCAAGGACGTCCGTGCCAAGAGCGCACTCACCCCCGACGGACGGAGGACAGACAGACTCAGACCCAGCAACAAGGCTAGCAGCGTAGTCTAGACGACAGGCAGCAGCAAAGTCAACCAACTCAGCTACCAGAGCAGACGCAGTCGAGGACTCAAAGGTAGGGTCAGTGACAACAGTAGCGAGGAGACGCGTGACAGTAGGGTGCTCAGCACGATACCGGTCAGACTCAGGGTCCGGAACGTCAGGCAAAGAGGACGCAGGAGGAGACGGTAGAGAGACACGCTGAGGAGCAGTAGAGGGACGCAGAGTCATGTAGTGAGTGCCTGGGACAGGAGGAGGACGCTCACGACGGACACGACTACCAGTGCGAGCAGGACGAACAGGCGACGCAGGACGAGACTCGGGCTCACGACGCTCTGTAAGACCTCCTATGGGACCAGTGTAAGGAGAGGGAGCAGGGAGAGGCGAGGTAGGCGGTAACTGTGACTGCGGCTGGACAGGCGGAGGACACTCTACGGAGGGAGGAGGACAAGGAGGAGGAGCCTGCCCAAGAACCTGCTGAAGGAGCGGTACGAAGTACGGTCGCGGCTGCGCAGCGTCTCCAGAAGCAGAAGAGACTCCAGCGGCCGGGTCCGCAGTACCAGTAGGAGCTCCAGCGTCCGGGTCCACAGCACCAGCAGCAGCTCCACCAGCCGGGTCCTCAGCACCAGTAGTAGCTCCAACGCCCGGGTCCTCAGCAGCAGCAGCAGCGCCACCGCTCGGGTCCTCAGCTCCAGCAGCAGCTCCACCGCCCGGGTCCTCAGCACCAGCAGCAGCGCCACCGCCCGGGTCCTCAGCTCCAGTAGCAGCTCCAACGTCCGAGTCCTCAGCACCAGCAGCAGCTCCACCAGGCGGGTCCGCAGCACCAGGAGCACCACTCCGAAGACTGCAGCGCCGTGTGTACCACTCGCGGATCTGCTGAATGGGGGGGAGCTCCTGGGTAGGAGGGGAAGTACCGGGACGAGCTCCAGGAGCACCTCTCCGGAGGCGGCAGTACTCGAGGTACCTCTCCTGCAGCTGCTGGGAGGAGAGGGCTCCTCCAGGTGTAGCACGCTCAGGCTCAGCACCTCCAGACTCAGCACCCCCAGACTCAGCACCCCCAGGCTCAGCACCTCCAGGCTCCGCACCTCCAGGCTCCGCACCCCCAGACCCAGCACTCCCAGGCTCAGCACCCCCAGACGCAGCACCCCCAGGCTCAGCACCCCTAGCAGGACTAGAGTCAACAGCTACCTCGACAGGCTCACCCGGGTCTACCTGGGACACACCTGAGGGAGCGGCACCCTGAGGGGGGAGGGGGTCTGGTACCTCTGCACCTGGAGCGAGGAAGAGAGGCGGGGGGGGGGAGCGGGGCAGTGCGGTAGGGGAAGAGGCAGTAGTAGGGGACGGACTCGTCAAAAGTGACGTCCTGAGAGGCCAGGACACGCCGCGAGGTGGGGTGGTAGAACTGCCAACCAGGGGCGTCCGGGACAAAGCCAAGGAAGACGCAGGGGACAGCGCGACGGGAGAGCTTGTCCGCGGACGTGTCACGGACAAAAGCTCGGGATCCCCAGACCCGAAAACGCAACGCATCGCCAGCCTCTCCCGTCCAACGCAGTGTCGGAGAAGTCTCGGGCAAGGAGACACGGGGCCAGAGGTTGAGCTGATGCGCAGCGTATCGGACTGCAAACGGCCACAGAAAGTGGGGGGCAGCCGCATGAACCAAGGAGGTACGAGCGACCTCCATGACCAAGCCAATGCGGCGCTCAGCAACCCCATTCTGCTGCGGAGAGGCCGGAAGCGTGAACGACTGCTCAATGCCCTCCTGCTGACAGAAGGCCTCCAAGAGGCCAGAGGAAAACTCTCCACCTCTGTCAGAGTGCAGACGCAGGACAGGGAAGTCGGAGCGGAAACGCTCACTAAGCTGGAGACGAGATCTGCGGATCCAAGGGATCAAGACATCAGGGACGTCACCCTTGGTGCGCAAGGGGAAGACCGTGGTGTAGCGCGAGAAGTCGTCAACAACAATCAGGAAGTACCTCTCCTGACCCTGACCACGGACGCGGGCTGGGCCCCACACGTCCATGTGGAGCGTCTGCAAAGGAGCAGTCGTCGGGGGAAAGGAGGAGGAGTGAGGAGTGGCGCGCTGCCGCCCCTCGACACAGGGAAGACAGGGAGGAGCAGGCGAGTCGGGAAGGGAATGGTTTTGGCGGGAACAGTTACGAAACTGTACGCGCCGCACGGTTGGGAATGAATTTGAATAAAGGAATGTACCCCTTAGAGTACATGGCTAATTAGGTCGTTTCGTATTCCCTTGTACTCATATTTATATTTCTTGTATTTGCATGTTTTATTTCATCTCAAAGCATTTTACATTCACTCTGCTATTGAGGTCAAGGGCCCACCAAACTATCTCACTGCGTGCGAACCTTCCCGGGTAGATCCTGGGCTATGATCAACTTCTGATCGTAGCATGGTATGAGAGCGGCTCGGGAATCCTTCGCACTGCCACTCCCGAAAATTGCGACATTCGGAAAGTGGCGTCCGGCACATGCTCACGAGTGAAGATGGCCGGAGGATCTGGTGGTCAGACCAATCTGACGGCTGAAGCGCAACCAAACCCGGCTGCGACAAGCGAGAACACGACGACAATCGGCTCCGAAGTTCTCGCACAACTTCTTCAGCGACTCACCAGCTTGGAGCAAGGGCTCCGAACATTGCGGAATGGCGACGCGGGAACATCCTCACAACCCTCTCAACCGGCCCCGACTGGCCAGAACGCCACCTCGCAAACATTCTCCCTCGACACCAATGGCTCAACCCCTAAGACTCCCCGTCCCAGTGAAGAGGCAGTTCTCTCCGCCCTATCAAGGTTACTCAGCATATCAAAAATAAAGACAAGTACCTGTTTTGACGGCAGAGATTTTTATACCTGGAGCTTCGAGTTGGAGCTCCTGCTGCAGAACGCCCGAATTTTCCATTATTTTGACGGGAGCTACGCGGAGCCCGCTGAGGACACCGACGACGCCAAAGCGAGGTATTACGACGAATCGTTGATGGCGTACGGGGTGCTCCTGCGGAATATGTCGCCGGCAGAGCAGCTCAACATTCGTTCTTACAAAACTTCGGCTGCTCCAGCCCTTAACGCTTGGCGGCACCTGACAGGAGTCTATCAGCCCAAGGACTCTGTCTCTTCGAGACGACTACTCCAGGAACTCCTGGAAACCAAGATGATAGCGGGGGAGAAGGTCAACAATTATCTCAATCGCTGTCGGAGCCTTCACGACCAAATCGTGAAGCTGGGAAGCACGATTTCAGAGGAAATCTTCGTCAACATCGTGCTTCAAGGGCTCGGCCCAGAGTGGCGGCCCTGCAAGGCGCTTCTCCGACAGCAGGGGGTCATCTCGGAGGCCGCCCTTTGCGCCGCCCTTCTCGTCGAACAGAGGGATATGGATCAGCAGCGACCAGCGCCACGACGAGAACGAGAACGGCTCGCCTTCTACGCCGACAACACTGAAGAGCAAAAACCACGGCGCCTCTACTGCAAAATCTGCAGAAATTTCGGGCATCTGGCGGATCGATGCAAGAACCGATCCCGCCCTCGCCAGACCAATCCGAGCACCTGGTCCGGCCGTCAAGATGCACGAGGCGACGTGCGTCCAGCCCAGGGGTATCAGCCCCCTCCCGCGCGCAATCTGAACCCAGCGGTTCAGCATCAGCAGCAGCAGCCGTCATCGACTGCCCCAGTTCGCAATGTCATGAGCAACATGACCATGGCAGGCGAATCGCGTCGTCGCCGCGTCCGCTCGCCTTCACCTGAGCCGGCACCTCACCCCATTGGCGCATTCACCAACAACAATCCGTTCAGTCCGCGCCACGATTTCACCGACGACGACGACCAAGACTGGAATCTTCCAGTCCCACTGCTTGAAAGTCTCCAGTACGTACCTGATATGCGGGTGGCGCCACTCGATTGGCTCTCGCGCGAGCAATTTTTGAAGTTCGACACTCCGCACATCGTCACGCCGCGACTGGCGCTGCTCGCCCGTGACGACAACAAGCGCTACAACACCTGGTACCTGGACAGCTGCTGCGGCCAGCATATGGTGGGCTCCGAGCGTTACATATCCAACGCCATCCCCACTCCTACCGTCACTTATGTCACTGTGGCGAACAACACGCACCTGCGCGCAAGCGCGCAAGGCATCGTCGTGCTCAAAGCACGCGGGAGCCGCACGCATATCACGCTCAACGATGTGCTGATCGTCCAGAACCTGTGCTTCAACCTCCTGTCCGCCGCACAGCTCATGGATTGCGGCGTCGACCTCAGCACCGACCGCGCGACGCGAGATATCCTGCTGCACTATGAGGCGCGCAACTTCCCCCGCAGGCAGATCGGACGAGCACACTCCGAAAATGGGGTGTACGTCCTGGACTTCGATATTCCCGACTGCAGCGGCGACTCGCACGAGCTCATTGACCTCGTGCCACTGCGCTTTGAGCACATCCACCGCAGGGATTGGAAGCACCCTGACGGCAGGCCGTGGGTGCCACATCATCCCCACCCACGCGAAACGGCGCTTCACAACCCCAATCCCGATGGAATCTGCAGGGATTGTCACACGCCGACAACCTCAACGAGCGCGATCGCAGGCCGCGGACTCGCCGCCATCGCTGAAGCAGAGCACAACGCGCCGCCTGAGGAAGGCATGTCGCAGCTCGAACTTGAAATTGCTACCCACGGTGTTTTCGGCACGAAGGAACATCCCCTCATCGGTCCCCCCTCACAGCACCTGCAAGGCATGCTGCGCGGAACAGGGGTCGGGACCTTCGATGCACTTGGGGAGCCGCGCCCCTACACCTACGAGAAGTTCCTGGAGGACTACTCGACTCAGCGCGACCCGAAGAAGAAGCTTACCGTGGAGCAAGAAGAAGAACTGGCGCGCCGCGAAGCTGAGGTGCTTCGCCAGCAAAGCCTCGCGGAAGCACGCGGGACCTTCGTTTGCGCCGCCTGGGGAGCCGAGGAGGAAGCAAGCGCCTCCAAGAAGGGGGGTGGGGAAGCGCTGGAGGATGGGGAACAAGCGACACCGGCGGATGGGGAGACAACGCCGGAACCTGGGCCAACGCGAGCGGCGGATGGGGCACCGCATCTGGAGCCGGCAATAGCGGCTGGGGCACTTCCCGCAAAGAACGAAGGGGGGAAGAGGAAGAAGCCGCGGAAACCGAAGCAGCACCTGCAGTCGTTCGCGAGGGCCTCTACCTGCAGGAGCTTCCGCAAGAGGCGAAAATTCCAACTTCGCCCACATTCCACCTTCACTGCGACAACCAGAGCGCGATTCGCATCGCGAACAAACCTGGTTTCGTCAACCGCACCAAGCACATCGCGCTGCGGTACTTCTTCGTGAAGGACGAGGTGGACAAGGGCAAGGTCAACTTGACCTACTGCCCGACGGGTGACGTGGCAGCAGACTTCCTCACGAAGCGACTACCACGCCAGCAGTATCAGCACTCCTCCGAACTCAGCGGCGTGGTCAAGCAGGTCAAGTCGAGCTACAACGCAATGGCGCAACGATCGAGCGGCGTAATGATTGAGCGGCGCAGCGACGCAACGACGCAACGAGGCAACAACGCAACTGCAGCTGCAGGCAGAATGGTTTTGGCGGGAACAGTTACGAAACTGTACGCGCCGCACAGTTGGGAATGAATTTGAATAAGGGAATGTACCCCTTAGGGTACATGGCTAGTTAGGTCATTTCGTATTCCCTTGTACTCATATTTATATTTCTTGTGTTTGCATGTTTTATTTCATTTCAAAGCATTTTACATTCACTCTGCTATTGAGGTCAAGGGCCCACCAAACTATCTTACTGCGTGCGAACCTTCCCGGGTAGATCCTGCGCTACGATCAACTTCTGATCGCAGCAGTCGGGAGGAACGGGATCCTACAGGATCCTAACCTAGGTGATACCATGTCAGAATCGGAAGTGTTGGTTCATTGATGATGGTTGGGGTACAAGTAGATTAGTTTCTCTTAATAATAAAAAGAGAAACTAATCTAAAGATGAAAAAAAAAATGATAACCTAGTAGATTTAGCTAGCTTATGGATATGTTAAATCGCTACAACGCAATGGCGCAACGATCGAGCGGCGTAATGATTGAGCGGCGCAGCGACGCAACGACGCAACGAGGCAACAACGCAACGGCGCAAAGATCCGACGGTGCAATGATGACATACGATGTAATAAATTGCAACAACACAACCACTCAATGGCGGATCTGCATTTACTAGAAATACTACATGTTATAATGTATGTTCCATTTTAGACTAGCTAGTATATGTGGCACATTGTAAAGATTGCGCTGAAGTACATTCCCACCTCTGAGCAGCCAGCTGACTTCCTGACAAAGGGGCTGCACTTTCCGGCCTTCAACCGGTGCTCCGTCGCGATCGGCCAAGTTCGTCTGGCAGACGTTGGCGACGGTGACGATGATGTGCAGCAGTAGGTGCCGTGCCCTTATGCACGGCTGGTGCGGTGATCGACGTGCTGTGTGTTGTGTGCACGCCGAAGCATTTTTCCCGTGTATTATAGCCCTTGGGTTCTGGGTGGACCTGGTGTGTGGGGTGCCCAAGCGTGAGCGCGGCAGGGGAGTGTTGAAGGAAATTGGCCCCGCCCTCGCATGGGCAAATTGACTTGTGTTCGGGTGTGTGGGAGGTGCAGCCGACCTTCCGCAGAGGTCGACGAAGGTGGTCGTCGACCTGCGCGGAACCACTGTGACTTCGTCGACAAAGGAGTTCGACGAAGGAGTTCAACGAGGATGGTCGACGAAGCAGTTCGTCGACCAGAGTGGCGCAGCCGGTGCAGAAGTTCGCGGGTGTCCGTCTGCGCAGGGTCGCGTTTGACTCTGCGCAACATTGAGACTGCACAAGCGAATTTTGGCCAGAAATTCGAATGTGCCCTAATTTCGACCAATCAGGGGCTGACATTTTGAAATGTCGACCGAGGTGCTCGACGAAGGTGCTCGGCGAAGGTCGTCGAGCCCCGACGACGAAGGTCGTCAACCCGCGACGACGAAGGTCGTCAACCGGTGATGACGAAGGTCGTCATCCTGCAGAGATGTCATCCTCCAGGTACCTTACCTGGTTGACCAAGTTACCTGCTCGACGAGGTACGAAGGTGTGCGAACGTCGTCGAGGCTGCTGTGGCGAAGTCGACCGACGTGGCAGCACGTGGTCGACGTGGCTCATCATGTGCAACCGTCAGCATGTGGCTGACAACCTGCGCAATGTACTAGACAGTGCACGTCGTGCATAACTGTCTACAAGCACCTGCGATGTAGGTGCTTGCACATGCGCTTACAATCACCTGCGGGTGCAGTGTTGGCAAGCCGCACGGATGCTGCATTGGCAAGCCGCGCGGATGCAGCGTTGGCAGGCCGCCATTCTGCAGCGTTGGCAAGTCGCACACCAGCTGCGTTGGCGGGCCGTGGAGATGCTGCGTTGGCAGGTCGTCAACTTTGTCGTGCTGGCGATCGACCTGCCTGAGTGCTAGCAAACCTTGCATGTGATGTAGTCAAGCTTTGTCATTGCATGTTCATTCGTAACTCTGTTATTCTCAACTTTCCTTAGTGTAACTCTTGCTATTTTGCCTTGTGAAAACACAAGTCCTAGAGAACACAGACAGAGCTACGATCACTCCTACAACTCATGCCTACCTAGTAGTCTAGCTCCCACCGTTGTAGAGTTAATCTCCTCAGACATTTGAGTCGACTCACACAAACACTTATCCTTTGGGCGACATTTGAGTCGACTCACACAAACACTCATCCTTTGGGCGACATTTGAGTCGACTCACACAAACACTCATCGTTTGGGCGACATTTGAGTCGACTCACAAAAACACTCATCCTTTGGGCGACATTTGAGCCGACTAAGAAAAAAACTCATTCCTAGGGGGACATTTGAGTCGACTCACATAAACACTCATCCTTTGGGCGACATTTGAGTCGACTCACACAAACACTCATCTTTTAGGCGACATTTGAGTCGACTCATACAAACACTCATCTTTTGGGCGACATTTGAGTCGACTCACACAAACACTCATCCTTTGGGCGACATTTGAGTCGACTCACACAAACACTCATCCTTTGGGCGACATTTGAGTCGACTCACACAAACACTCATCTTTTGGGCGACATTTGAGTCGACTCACACAAACACTCATCTTTTGGGCGACATTTGAGTCGACTCACACAAACACTCATCCTTTGGGCGACATTTGAGTCGACTCACACAAACACTCGACATTTGAGTCGACTCACACAAACACTCATCTTTTAGGCGACATTTGAGTCGACTCACACAAACACTCATCTTTTGGGCGACATTTGAGTCGACTCACACAAACACTCATCCTTTGGGCGACATTTGAGTCGACTCACACAAACACTCATCCTTTGGGCGACATTTGAGTCGACTCACACAAACACTCATCTTTTGGGCGACATTTGAGTCGACTCACACAAACACTCATCTTTTAGGCGACATTTGAGTTGACTCACACAAACACTCATCCTTTGGACGACATTTGAGTCGACTCACACAAACACTCATCCTTTGGGCGACATTTGAGTCGACTCACACAAACACTCATCCTTTGGGCGACATTTGAGTCGACTTACACAAACACTCATCCTTTGGGCGACATTTGAGTCGACTCACACAAACACTCATCTTTTGGGCGACATTTGAGTCGACTCACACAAACACTCATCCTTTGGGCGACATTTGAGTCGACTCACACAAACACTCATCCTTTGGGCGACATTTGAGTCGACTCACACAAACGTTCATCCTTTGGGCGACATTTGAGTCGACTCACACAAACACTTATCCTTTGGGCGACATTTGAGTCGACTCACACAAACACTCATCCTTTGGGCGACATTTGAGTCGACTCACACAAACACTCATCCTTTGGGCAACATTTGAGTCGACTCACACAAACACTCATCCTTTGGGCGACATTTGAGTCGACTCACACAAGCACTCATCCTTTGGGCGACATTTGAGTCGACTCACAAAAACAATAATCCTTTGGGCGACATTTGAGTCGACTCACACAAACACTCATCATTTAGGCGACATTTGAGTCGACTCACACAAACACTCATCTTTTGGGCGACATTTGAGTCGACTCACACAAACACTCATCTTTTAGGCGACATTTGAGTCGACTTACACAAACACTCATCTTTTGGGCGACATTTGAGTCGACTCACACAAACACTCATCCTTTGGGCGACATTTGAGTCGACTCACACAAACACTCATCCTTTGGGCGACATTTGAGTCGACTCACACAAACACTCATCTTTTAGGCGACATTTGAGTCGACTCACACAAACACTCATCCTTTGGGCGACATTTGAGTCGACTCACACAAACACTCATCCTTTGGGCGACATTTGAGTCAACTCACACAAACACTCATCCTTTGGGCGACATTTGAGTCGACTCACACAAACACTCATCTTTTGGGCGACATTTGAGTCGACTCACACAAACACTCATCATTTAGGCGACATTTGAGTCGACTCACACAAACACTCATCTTTTGGGCGACATTTGAGTCGACTCACACAAACACTCATCTTTTAGGCGACATTTGAGTCGACTTACACAAACACTCATCTTTTGGGCGACATTTGAGTCGACTCACACAAACACTCATCCTTTGGGCGACATTTGAGTCGACTCACACAAACACTCATCCTTTGGGCGACATTTGAGTCGACTCACACAAACACTCATCATTTAGGCGACATTTGAGTCGACTCACACAAACACTCATCTTTTGGGCGACATTTGAGTCGACTCACACAAACACTCATCTTTTAGGCGACATTTGAGTCGACTTACACAAACACTCATCTTTTGGGCGACATTTGAGTCGACTCACACAAACACTCATCCTTTGGGCGACATTTGAGTCGACTCACACAAACACTCATCCTTTGGGCGACATTTGAGTCGACTCACACAAACACTCATCTTTTAGGCGACATTTGAGTCGACTCACACAAACACTCATCCTTTGGGCGACATTTGAGTCGACTCACACAAACACTCATCCTTTGGGCGACATTTGAGTCAACTCACACAAACACTCATCCTTTGGGCGACATTTGAGTCGACTCACACAAACACTCATCCTTTGGGCGACATTTGAGTCGACTCACGCAAACACTCATCTTTTGGGTGACACTGAGTCGACTCACACAAACACTCATCTTTTGGTCATTCGAGTCGACTCACACAAACACTCATCCTTTGGGCGACATTTGAGTCGACTCACACAAACACTCATCTTTTAGGCGACATTTGAGTCGACTTACACAAACACTCATCTTTTGGGCGACATTTGAGTCGACTCACACAAACACTCATCCTTTGGGCGACATTTGAGTCGACTCACACAAACACTCATCCTTTGGGCGACATTTGAGTCGACTCACACAAACACTCATCATTTAGGCGACATTTGAGTCGACTCACACAAACACTCATCTTTTGGGCGACATTTGAGTCGACTCACACAAACACTCATCTTTTAGGCGACATTTGAGTCGACTTACACAAACACTCATCTTTTGGGCGACATTTGAGTCGACTCACACAAACACTCATCCTTTGGGCGACATTTGAGTCGACTCACACAAACACTCATCCTTTGGGCGACATTTGAGTCGACTCACACAAACACTCATCTTTTAGGCGACATTTGAGTCGACTCACACAAACACTCATCCTTTGGGCGACATTTGAGTCGACTCACACAAACACTCATCCTTTGGGCGACATTTGAGTCAACTCACACAAACACTCATCCTTTGGGCGACATTTGAGTCGACTCACACAAACACTCATCTTTTGGGCGACATTTGAGTCGACTCACACAAACACTCATCATTTAGGCGACATTTGAGTCGACTCACACAAACACTCATCTTTTGGGCGACATTTGAGTCGACTCACACAAACACTCATCTTTTAGGCGACATTTGAGTCGACTTACACAAACATTCATCTTTGGGCGACATTTGAGTCGACTCACACAAACACTTATCCTTTGGGCGACATTTGAGTCGACTCACACAAACACTCATCCTTTGGGCGACATTTGAGTCGACTCACACAAACACTCATCTTTTAGGCGACATTTGAGTCGACTCACACAAACACTCATCCTTTGGGCGACATTTGAGTCGACTCACACAAACACTCATCCTTTGGGCGACATTTGAGTCAACTCACACAAACACTCATCCTTTGGGCGACATTTGAGTCGACTCACACAAACACTCATCCTTTGGGCGACATTTGAGTCGACTCACGCAAACACTCATCTTTTGGGTGACACTGAGTCGACTCACACAAACACTCATCTTTTGGTCATTCGAGTCGACTCACACAAACACTCATCCTTTGGGCGACATTTGAGTCGACTCACACAAACACTCATCCTTTGGGCGACATTTGAGTCGACTCACACAAGCACTCATCCTTTGGACGACATTTGAGTCGACTCACACAAACACTCATCCTTTGGGCGACATTTGAGTCGACTCAGAAAAAAACTCATTCTTAGGGGGACATTTGAGTCGACTCACATAAACACTCATCCTTTGGGCGACATTTGAGTCGACTCACAAAAACACTCATCCTTTGGGCGACATCTGAGTCGACTCAGAAAAACACCCATCCTTTGGGCGACATTTGAGTCGACTCACACAAGCACTCATCCTTTGGGCGACATTTGAGTCGAATCACAAAAACACTAATCCTTTGGGCGACATTTAAGTCGACTCACACAAACACTCATCCTTTGGGCGACATTTGAGTCGACTCACACAAACACTCATCCTTTCGGCGACATTTGAGTCGACTCACACAAACACTCATCCTTTGGGCGACATTTGAGTCGACTCACACAAACACTCATCATTTGGGCGACATTTGAGTCGATTCACACAAACACTCATCGTTTGGGCGACATTTGAGTCGAGTCACACAAACACTCATCCTTTGGGCGACATTTGAGTCGACTCACACAAACACTCATCCTTTGGACGACATTTGAGTCGACTCACACAAACACTCATCCTTTGGGCGACATTTGAGTCGACTCACACAAACACTCATCCTTTGGGCGACATTTGAGTCGACTCACACAAACACTCATCCTTTGGGCGACATTTGAGTCGACTCACACGAACACTCATCCTTTGGGCGACATTTGAGTCTACTCACACAAACACTTATCCTTTGGGCGACATGTGAGTCGACTCACATAAACACTCATCCTTTGGGCGACATTTGAGTCGACTCACACAAACACTCATCCTTTGGGCGACATTTGAGTCGACTCACACAAACACTCATCCTTTGGGTGACATTTGAGTCGACTCACACAAACAGTCATCCTTTGGGCAACATTTGAGTCGTCTCACAAAAAGACTCATTCTTTGGGCGACATTTGAGTCGAGTCACACAAACACTCATCCTTTGGGCGACATTTGAGTCGACTCACACAAACACTCATCCATTGGGCGACATTTGAGTCGACTCACACAAACACTCATCTTTTGGGCGACATTTGAGTCGACTCACACAAACACTCATCCTTTGGGCGACATTTGAGTCGACTCAGAAAAACACTCATCCTTTGGGCGACATTTGAGTCGACTCACACAAACACTCATCTTTTGGGCGACATTTGAGTCGACTCACACAAACACTCATCTTTTGGGCGACATTTGAGTCGACTCACACAAACACTCATCTTTTGGGCGACATTTGAGTCTACTCACACAAACACTCATCCTTTGGGCGACATTTGAGTCGACTCACACAAACACTCATCCTTTGGGCGACATTTGAGTCGACTCACACAAACACTCATCCTTTGGGCGACATTTGAGTCTACTCACACAAACACTCATCCTTTGGGCGACATTTGAGTCGACTCACACAAACACTCATCCTTTGGGCGACATTTGAGTCTACTCACACAAACACTCATCCTTTGGGCGACATTTGAGTCGACTCACACAAACACTCATCTTTTAGGCGACATTTGAGTCGACTCACACAAACACTCATCTTTTGGGCGACATTTGAGTCGACTCACACAAACACTCATCCTTTGGGCAACATTAAAGTCGACTCACACAAACACTAATCCTTTGGGCGACATTTGAGTCGACTCACACAAACACTCATCCTTTCGGCGACATTTGAGTCGACTCACACAAACACTCATCTTTTAGGCGACATTTGAGTCGACTCACACAAACACTCATCTTTTGGGCGACATTTGAGTCGACTCACACAAACACTCATCCTTTGGGCGACATTTGAGTCGACTCACACAAACACTCATCCTTTGGGCGACATTTGAGTCGACTTACACAAACACTCATCCTTTGGGCGACATTTGAGTCGACTCACACAAACACTCATCTTTTGGGCGACATTTGAGTCGACTCACACAAACACTCATCCTTTGGGCGACATTTGAGTCGACTCACACAAACATGTCAGAATCCCAGCCACTAACCACTTGGATAAAAGGGCTTGTTTGTGTAGCGGGTGAGTGCGCCCATAACCCCCCAGGCCGCCGTGCCTGTAACCCTTCCCTAGGATCAATCGGGGATCACCAGTGGACCTCTGACACCCCCTCGCACTGGGATGCCCGAGGTGCACACACCGGGATTCGAACCCGAGATCTTCGCTCTGATACCATGTCAGAATCCCAGTCACTAACCACTGGGATAAAAGGGCTTGTTTGTGTAGCGGGTGAGTGCGCCCATAACCCCCCAGGCCGCCGTGCCTGTAACCCTTCCCTAGGATCATCGGGGATCCCCAGTGGACCTCTGACAGGGAAATGTAGTGATGGGGAAGGGAGTGAGGGGAAACAAAGTGAGGGGGACAGGGATGAGGAGGGATGGAAGTGAGGGGAAATTGAGTGAGGGGGAATACAAGTGAGGGGGGATGGAAGTGAGGGGAAATTGAGTGAGGGGAAATACAAGTGAGGGGAAATGAAGTGAGGGGGAAGAGAGTGAGGGGGGATGGAAGTGAGGGGAAATGAAGTGAGGGGGGATTTCCTCTCACTCCATTCCCCCTCACTCACAGAAGTGGGGGGAAAACGAGTGAGGGGAAATATAAGTGAGGGGAAATGTAGTGAGGGGGAAGGGAGTGAGGGGGAATGGAAGTGAGGGGAAACAAAGTGAGTGGGACAGGCATGAGGAGGGATAAAAGTGAGGGGAAATTTAGTGAGGGGGAATACAAGTGAGGGGGGATGGAAGTGAGGGGAAATTGAGTGAGGGGAAATACAAGTGAGGGGAAATGAAGTGAGGGGGAAGAGAGTGAGGGGGGATGGAAGTGAGGAGAAACGAAGTGAGGGGGGATTTCCTCTCACTCCATTCCCCCTCACTCACAGAAGTGGGGGGAAAACGAGTGAGGGGAAATGTAGTGAGGGGGAAGGGAGTGAGGGGGAATGGAAGTGAGGGGAAACAAAGTGAGGGGGACAGGGATGAGGAGGGATGGAAGTGAGGAGAAATTGAGTGAGGGGGAATACAAGTGAGGGGGGATGGAAGTGAGGGGAAATTGAGTGAGGGGAAATACAAGTGAGGGGAAATGAAGTGAGGGAGAAGAGAGTGAGGGGGGATGGAAGTGAGGGGAAATGAAGTGAGGGGGGATTTCCTCTCACTCCATTCCCCCTCACTCACAGAAATGGGGGGAAAACGAGTGAGGGGAGATATAGGTGAGGGGAAATGTAGTGAGGGGGAAGGGAGTGAGGGGGAATGGAAGTGAGGGGAAACAAAGTGAGGGGGACAGGGATGAGGAGGGACGGAAGTAAGGGGAAATTGAGTGAGGGGGGATACAAGTGAGGGGGGATGGAAGTGAGGGGAAATTGAGTGAGGGGAAATACAAGTGAGGGGAAATGAAGTGAAGGGGAAGAGAGTGAGGGGGGATGGAAGTGAGGGGAAATGAAGTGAGGGGGGATTTCCTCTCACTCCATTCCCCCTCACTCACAGAAGTTGTCAGAAATAACGGTAGAGCCCAAATATCAACACCCCTCTTTTCCAGATCAGCCCAGCGCGGCAGCTCAGTGGCAGCAGGAAACTGAGTGCGCCACGCGTCGTTAAGGCGCGCGAAGCAGCGCTGCGTGGGGTGCGGCCTCCCACACTGCTGGCCGCTGCGGTCACCTGTGCGAATGACGTACGTGCAGGTAACGCTACGCTGCGCATACCACTCACGGGCGGCCTGAAGCGTCGGGGTGGGCTGCTGACTCTGCCCTCCGCCAGTGCCTCCACGACCACCACCCCCACCGCCGCCGCCCCGGCCACCTCCACCCCTGCCGCCGCCACGACCACCTCCGCCTCCGCTGCCGCCTCCACCACCACTCCCACCGCTGCTGTCTCCTCCCCCACTGCCGCCACTAGTCTCCCCAGCCGCGCCTCCACTCCCACCGCCTCCACCCCCACCTCCTCCGCCGCCACCCCCACCCCTGCCCCCCTTGTTCCTGCGGCGCCCGCTCGAAGCAGACGCGGTCCCGACCTTCTCAGCACCAAGAAGGTCGACAGCAGCAGCAGAGGCGACAGAGGGGAGGAGGGGGGAAGGGGAACACCCCTCAAAGAACGGGGTGCGGGGGTCGCCACGAGAGGTGCCTACAGCGACGATGCTCGCCTCAGCTGCAAGCAGTTCCTTCTCGAGGAGGGCAACAGTGAGCTCAGTGGGGGAGCGAGAGAGGAAGTGATCCCTGACTGCGCGCAGAGAGTCAGGGAGGCGGGTGACGATGTGGTAGAGAGTGATCCAGAGCGGGGGGGGGTTGCTAGTGAGAAACTCGGCAGGCATAGCAGCACGAAAGCGGGCCTCACTAGTCTTAAGGTGGGTGATGAGGTCTGCGACAGTGTGAAAGGAGGCTAGGTCGGGGAACAGGTAGGGGAGAGTGAGGCGGCCTAGCGTGGCAGAAGCGGGTGAGGAGTAGCGGGCAACTACAGCGGTGTAGAGGTCCTTAGCAGTCTTGCACTGGCCGAAGTGCTCGCGCTCGTCTAGCGGCAGGGAGTTGCGAATAGCAAAGCGAGCGTGCGCATCACGGGTCTGCCACTGGGAACGCAGAGTGCTGTCAGCAGACGAGTCAGGGGCAGTGGCATGGCCTAGGGCATGGTCGTACAGTGAGATATCTTCCTTGGCAGTGAGCTGTAGGAACAGGTGCAGGTCATCTAGCCAGGTTTCGAACTTCACTGGGCGGCCCTCGGCATCGAAAGCTAGAACGGGAGGACTAGCCATAGTGACAGTAGCAGTAGGAACAAGGCCGCTGGAAAGGTGTGCGCAGGGTCAACGGGGCCGGCGTGGTGCACGAGCGGCAGTAGTAGGGAGCGCGACAGCAGGAGCTGCAGCGGTGCGCGACCGAAGGGCAGGAGCTGCGGCGCACTAGCGGTAGCGGGCGACTCGCGGGCGGCGGCTGCAGAGGCGCACGGGCGGCAGCGGCTGATACGCACGGGCAGCAGCGCCGACAGCGCACGGGCGGCTGCAGCAGCGAGCGGTGCGCAAGCAGCAGCGGCAGCAGCGCACGGGTGGCAGCGGCGTCGGTGCACGGGCGGCAGCGGCGTCGGCGGACGGGCGGATGCGGGCAACGGGCGTGCGGCAGCTGCGGCGGCGAGCTGCGGGCCTGCGGGGCCACGGCGGGGTGTGCGCGAGCGGGCGACGGGCGGCTGCAGCAGCGGGCGCGTCAGCGAGGCGCACAGGCAGCGCGCGGGCAGCGTGCGGGGCCGCGCGTAAAGAAAACAGCCGCGCGCGTGCGGCTAGCGGGGCGCGCGCAGCGAAATCGACCGCGCGCGGGCGGCTAGCGGGATACGCGCGCTAAAAAAAAAAAAAAAAGTCGAGTCGCGCGCGGGCGGCTGGCGGGCTGCGCGCGCGCGGTAGGTAGGAGGCGCACGAGGGCGCGTAGGCGCACGAGGCGCACGGTAGGTAGGTAGGTATGTAGGTAACGGTGGGCCCTAAGAACGGTCCTAGCGAAGGACCTGCTCTGATACCATGTCAGAAATAACGGACTGGAATGATGGACAAGTGGCTCAATTTCGTTCCGTGTCGTTTACAAGATTTAAGCGCCCAAAATCTGCCTGGTACGCCCATTATAGGTGCGCATACTGCCCCGACTGCCCAACGCATCACTTTGATTGGTCCACTGAATTGGATGTCACAATGAACAGGCAGTGATGACTGTACTAACAGAAGGATGGATACAAATAGGAAACCCTAATCCAGTGTACCCCCTAAGGTGTCACCCACTACAGCCTACAATCATATAAACATATAATGTTTGACACACCCCCATAGGCAAAGTGGGGGAGACCTAGGGGTCACAAGACCAGTCAAGGCAAAGCAAGGCAACAACAAGCTCAGGGTGGATCTCAAGGATTCCACACAAATTCCGAGCACAAGCTAGCGGTCACAAGACCAGTTCACATGCAGGTTTATAACAGAGCAAGAGATACAGTGATCACAACCTAGCAAGAGTAAACATGCAGGTATAGATATATATAGTGATCACAGTACAAGCAAGGTCAAGAGGTAAGCAAGTGAGGTCCAGTAGGCACAAGGCCTAGTAGAGTGCAGAAGCGCTGATGGTCACGAGGCTGAAGCGCCTTGGTGAACACATCAGCAGTGTTGGCCTCAGTGGCCACGTAGCGAATACAAAGCTGACCGCGCTGCTGCAGCTCACGAGCAAGGAAGTACCTCAGGGCGATGTGCTTCGTTCTGTGCTCCAGTCTGTGCTCCTCACACAAGGCAATGGCAGCCTTGTTGTCGACGTACAGTACTGGAGGAGAACGAGGCCGCTCTCCGAGGTCGGTCAGCAGGTAGGTCAGCCAGCGTAGCTCCTGGGCAGCCATGGCTGTAGCGTAGATCTCAGCCTCGCAACTGGAGCCGAGAACAGAAGAAGAACGTGTAGAGCGCCAAGAAACTGAGCCAGAGCCAAGGCTGAAGGTGTAACACTGAGACGACCGCTGAGTGGCCTGGTCGTCTGCCCAAGAAGCGTCTGAGTGCCCTGTGAGAACAACTCGGTCTCGCCCTCCAAGCACAAGCCCCATGCCCGACGTACTGCACAAGTAGCGCAACACCCTCTTAGCGGCATCCATGTGCTCCTTCCTGTGACGGCCAGGAGCGACATAGCGTGCAAGGATGCTAAGAGGGTATGCAAGGTCAGGTCGAGTGCAGGTCATCAGGTACATGAGGCAGCCCACAAGCTCTGGATACGGGCCACTCGGCTCTACGGACTCATCCGAAGGCAGAGCTGAGAGCGAGTGACCGGTAGGCAGAGGAGTGGACTGAGGCGAGGAGTACGTGAAGCGGAAGCGCTGGAGAACCTGCTGCACCATGTGTGACTGAGTCAGGGTGATGGTGCGCCGTGCTCTGTCCCGGGTGATCCGCAAGCCAAGATAGCTTGTCAGCTCACCCAGGTCTGTGCACGTGTGTCTCCTCTGCAGCTCCGACTTCACGTAGGTGAGTCCTGCAGTGTCAGCAGTGGCAAAGACCAAGTCGTCGACGTACACGAGGATGTAGAACGGCGGCAGCGAAGTGTCGGTGCGCAGGAACAGCGACGGGTCAGCTGTAGAAGGCGCGAACCCAAGGGCCGCAAGTGTAGTCCTCAGTGTGTCGTGCCACTCACGCGGAGCCTGGCGGAGACCGTAGACCGGCCGCTGAAGCCTCCACTGGGTACCAGGAGGAAACGACCCAGTGAAGCCAGGTGGACGGCGCAGCCAGATCTCCTCGTGCAGGCTGCCCTGCAAGAAAGCAGTGCTGAAGTCAAGTGAGTGAAGCTCGTAGTCGCGGTGAGCGGCTATGTGCAGCAGCACCCAAAGAGTAGTCATCTTCGGGGTGGGGGAGAAGGTCTGGAAGAAGTCAACTCCCTCTCGCTGACTGAAGCCTCGAGCCACGTAACGCGCCTTGAAGACAGGCGGAGAACCCGGCGGCCGCTTCACCCTGAAAATCCACATGCCACTAACGATGTTCGCCCCAGGAGGGGGAACCTCGTCGACGTAGGTGCCTGTGGACTTCCAGGAAGCCATCTCGGCGTCCATGGCTGTCTGCCACTGAGAGGAGTAGGGACCCGCCATCGCCTCAGCGTAAGTGCGCGGGGTCGGGATGTCTGGTGCATCCGGGTCTCCCTCAGGGGCAACTAGCAAGGACACGAGACGGGGCAAAGCAGCAGCAAGACACTGGAACTCCTCCTGTCTGTCCTCAAGGACGTCCGTGCCAAGAGCACACTCATCCCCGACGGACGGAGGACAGACAGACTCAGACCCAGCAACAAGGCTAGCAGCGTAGTCTAGACGACAGGCAGCAGCAAAGTCAACCAACTCAGCTACCAGAGCAGACGCAGTCGAGGACTCAAAGGTAGGGTCAGTGACAACAGTAGCGAGGAGACGCGTGACAGTAGGGTGCTCAGCACGATACCGGTCAGACTCAGGGTCCGGAACGTCAGGCAAAGAGGACGCAGGAGGAGACGGTAGAGAGACACGCTGAGGAGCAGTAGAGGGACGTAGAGTCATGTAGTGAGTGCCTGGGACAGGAGGAGGACGCTCACGACGGACACGACTACCAGTGCGAGCAGGACGAACAGGCGACGCAGGACGAGACTCAGGCTCACGACGCTCTGTAAGACCTCCTGTGGGACCAGTGTAAGGAGAGGGAGCAGGGAGAGGCGAGGTAGGCGGTAACTGTGACTGCGGCTGGACAGGCGGAGGACACTCTACGGAGGGAGGAGGACAAGGAGGAGGAGCCTGCCCAAGAACCTGCTGAAGGAGCGGTACGAAGTACGGTCGCGGCTGCGCAGCGTCTCCAGAAGCAGAAGAGACTCCAGCGGCCGGGTCCGCAGTACCAGTAGGAGCTCCAGCGTCCGGGTCCACAGCACCAGCAGCAGCTCCACCAGCCGGGTCCTCAGCACCAGTAGTAGCTCCAACGCCCGGGTCCTCAGCAGCAGCAGCAGCGCCACCGCTCGGGTCCTCAGCTCCAGCAGCAGCTCCACCGCCCGGGTCCTCAGCACCAGCAGCAGCGCCACCGCCCGGGTCCTCAGCTCCAGTAGCAGCTCCAACGTCCGAGTCCTCAGCACCAGCAGCAGCTCCACCAGGCGGGTCCGCAGCACCAGGAGCACCACTCCGAAGACTGCAGCGCCGTGTGTACCACTCGCGGATCTGCTGAATGGGGGGGAGCTCCTGGGTAGGAGGGGAAGTACCGGGACGAGCTCCAGGAGCACCTCTCCGGAGGCGGCAGTACTCGAGGTACCTCTCCTGCAGCTGCTGGGAGGAGAGGGCTCCTCCAGGTGTAGCACGCTCAGGCTCAGCACCTCCAGACTCAGCACCCCCAGACTCAGCACCCCCAGGCTCCGCACCTCCAGGCTCCGCACCTCCAGGCTCCGCACCCCCAGACCCAGCACTCCCAGGCTCAGCACCCCCAGACGCAGCACCCCCAGGCTCAGCACCCCTAGCAGGACTAGAGTCAACAGCTACCTCGACAGGCTCACCCGGGTCTACCTGGGACACACCTGAGGGAGCGGCACCCTGAGGGGGGAGGGGGTCTGGTACCTCTGCACCTGGAGCGAGGAAGAGAGGCGGGGGGGGGAGCGGGGCAGTGCGGTAGGGGAAGAGGCAGTAGTAGGGGACGGACTCGTCAAAAGTGACGTCCTGAGAGGCCAGGACACGCCGCGAGGTGGGGTGGTAGAACTGCCAACCAGGGGCGTCCGGGACAAAGCCAAGGAAGACGCAGGGGACAGCGCGACGGGAGAGCTTGTCCGCGGACGTGTCACGGACAAAAGCTCGGGATCCCCAGACCCGAAAACGCAACGCATCGCCAGCCTCTCCCGTCCAACGCAGTGTCGGAGAAGTCTCGGGCAAGGAGACACGGGGCCAGAGGTTGAGCTGATGCGCAGCGTATCGGACTGCAAACGGCCACAGAAAGTGGGGGGCAGCCGCATGAACCAAGGAGGTACGAGCGACCTCCATGACCAAGCCAATGCGGCGCTCAGCAACCCCATTCTGCTGCGGAGAGGCCGGAAGCGTGAACGACTGCTCAATGCCCTCCTGCTGACAGAAGGCCTCCAAGAGGCCAGAGGAAAACTCTCCACCTCTGTCAGAGTGCAGACGCAGGACAGGGAAGTCGGAGCGGAAACGCTCACTAAGCTGGAGACGAGATCTGCGGATCCAAGGGATCAAGACATCAGGGACGTCACCCTTGGTGCGCAAGGGGAAGACCGTGGTGTAGCGCGAGAAGTCGTCAACAACAATCAGGAA